AAATGAGGCAGTTGCCACTAGGTGCATATATTTCTGAAAAGTGCATTGTGTTTTCATTAATCCACATGATCACTTATAAATGCCTAGTGAGACTTGAGCTGCCTATTTCTTTTTCTTGTGTGATTAATCAGATTTTCCTGCATTCTCTAGAACTTGCCCTTGTTCTTAATTGAATATGCATGTTACAGTTCTCACACACATGATAGAGGTCATGTTTGATATACTTAGTTAGCCTAAAATGCCTTCCCTTATGATTAATTGCCCTAGTTTACCCCTTTGAGCTTAATATTTTCGTTTCTTGAGTTAACTTCATTACAAGCCTTGCTGAAAAATCAATTTTACCATTCAAAGGAAAAGAGGCATAGTGAGTTTAATCAAGAATGAGTTTTAAAACTAAGTTTGGGGTAACATCCATTTATGTTGCTTAAGGACAAGCAAATTTTTAAGTTTGGGGTAGGGGAATAGCAAGCTATCTAAGTTTGAGTTCAAAAAGTCAGAAAGAAAGAACAAAAGTGCTGCAGAAAAATGAAAAATTATGCAGCAAAACTGTGGAAAGAGTAAAACATGAGTTCAAAAACAGAATCTGAGTTGAAAAGAGCAAAATAGAGATCAAAAAGAAGAAATTTACAGTAAACTATTGCAGAGAAAAAGAAAAAGAAATTCAAGGAAAAGAAAAGAGTAAATGGAAGTAAGAGAAGAAAAAGGAAAATGAAAATTCTGCTGCATAACAACAATTTGTTTGCTGCATAATTAAGGGATTTAATGTGAATTGATGCTAAACCAGACTAGTTTTAAAGTCATTCACTCAAAATGCCTCTGATCTTTTGAAATTGCAACGTGTTTCTTATTTTGTTCAGTATCTACCTTAACCTAAGCCCTGTTATAAACTGTAAAAAATCCTCTTGATGTGTGATTGGCTGTACTAAGCAGAGGAGATGGAGAAATTGGGCAAGCATATGGTAGAGTGTAACTGAATTGATGATTAAAGAGAGAAAACAGTACCTAAACACTGCTGAGAAATGAGGGAAACACTGTCCAGTGAGAAGTGATCATGATTTTTAATGTTTCTCACATGAACTTGGCTGATATATATTCACTTAGATAGCAATTCTTGCTTAAAATTTGATGAATGCATTGTGATTGCAATGATGAGTAATTGGATGAACATCTTGATTGAAAGTTTTGCAGAAAACACATAATTGGAAATTGAAAAATCTGAGAAAAGCAGTTTGCTAATTGGTTTTTGAAAAGTGGAAGAATTACCCTTGGTTTAGTTTGATTTGCTTGAGGACAAGCAAAAAATTCAAATTTGGGGTAGTGATGAATCCATATTTTGACTGATATTTTAGCATAATTCTAAAATATTTGATAAGAAAAATATATAAAGAAAGCAAAAAACTCAAAAAAAGAGAAGGAATTGAAGTTTTGTTTAAATTTGTAGTTATTTTAGCAATTGTGAAATTTTTGCTTAGGAATTAAGTTTTTAATCTTGTTTTTGAAGGAATAAATTGAGCAAGGATCATATCCATGGAGGTTTAATGACAAGGAAGAGGAAAGAAGCAAGTCTAGACTCCAAAAAAAAAACAAGAATAAGAAATTGCAGACTAAGATTGATCACTATTGTCAGTGAAAGTGATCACTTCAGAGCTCAAAGAAGAAGGAAAGCTCTGCGTAACCACTTTTATCATTAAAAGTGATAGTTCCAGAGAGGCAAAATATCAAGAAAGCTCTGCGTAACCACTATTGTCATCAAAAGTGATCGTTCCAGAGAGTCTTCAACTTGGCGAGTTGCGCGTAGTCACTTTTATCAGCAATAGTGATAACGCGCAACTACCTTGACTCTGCGTTGTCACTTTTATCATCAAGAGTGATAGTTTCAGAGAGCTCTCAATATCAGAAAGTTGCGTGTGGCCACTATTTCTGGAAAAAGTGTTAACGCACAACCAAAAACTCTCTGCGTAACTACTATTTTTCATAAAAGTGATGACGTGAAAATCTAGGAAATTTTATAAATACCAGAAACGATCCGAAAAAAAGGGGATTCTGTTCATTTTCAGTTTTTTTAGTTAGATTCTTGTTGGAGGAAGTGAGAGAGAGGAGTGGAGATTCGAATTTCAGAGCTTCACGAAGAGGAATTGGAGTGGAGCAAGCTTCCATGGCGATTCTGATTTTCTTCTTCTCTTCTTCTCTTTCTTTTCTTTTCTCTGCTGCCATGGCTGTGTAATTTGTTCATAGTTAGGGATTGTAGATCTGAAATAAATGTGTTGAATTGATTTTGGATCTGGATTTCAAGCTTTGGAATATATTGAGTGATTGATTATGCACTTTACATAGGAATTGAATGGAAATTTGATTAACTATTTTCAAAGGAACTCTTGTCAATGGAAATTGAATTTGTTCTTCAGATCTGAACCAATCACCAATATTATAGTTTTCTTAGGGATAAGGAACTTTGATCTTGCAATCTTTTGGTTTCTTATACTTAAAGCAATGTTGAATTAAATCATATCTAAGGAATTAGAATGTTTTAATTGAATGTTAGGTTCACTGAGTTAAGAAATTAACCTTTGAACAATAGAACGTGAAACTGATTGTTTTTCTTTCCAAATGCTTGTTAATTCAGAACTTTATTGATTAAACATGGGAGTTTTGGTGAAGCAATTCCCTAGCTATGGTTTCTTCCTCTGTTATCACCTAATTGTTTGTTCGTTGTTCTGTTTTCTGCAAGTTCATTTTACTTTTAATTGTTCTAGTTTGTTGTTATTACATGTTACTACTCTCCTTCCAATTTCGAAAAAGCTTAAATGGTTATAATTCTATGAAGTGGTATTTGAAACCTAAATTCCCTGTGGAGACGATATTTGGATCTTAAATTTACTCACTACTTGCTGCAATCCTAGTGCACTTGCTAGTGTTAGATTGCGAACAACACTTTCTTTCAAATACGCACTCCCAATGCACTGTGATCACAGATATTTGATGCCTCCTGCACTTCTTAAGGTCTTACACAACTAAGTAAATAGTTGTTGGTTAGCTCATGTACACAGATACAACATATATAATAACAATTCTCTTAACAAAGGTATAGTCAGGAAACGAATGTGAGGTCATGTGACGCATTTGTTGTAAAAAAAAGGTGTACACATACGTGAATGTTGCTCACTATCCTACATTTTCCCTAGATTTTCATATCATATCTGAACTTTATACTCCTAGTATATATTTGTAACTATTTACACTAGTTTCTTTCCTCACTTTGAACTCATCTCATACTCTTTTTCGTGTCAAACTCATTACTCAGGTAAAAGATTGTGCTTAATCAAGTACTTTTAGACTAAGTCCTAAACACATATACTACAAGAATATAGTACTAAACCCAATATTAGCCAAACATACTTCATTAACCTTTCACCATAATCCAATATCATTCAACTAAAGAATCGTACTTGCTCAAAATATTTCTGGACTAAGTCTTTATTGTATACAACAAACATACAATATAATTATCCCAAATCAACCAAATATATATCATTATAACTTTTCATAATACCTACATATCATTCAGTCATATATTTACATATAAAAAAAATACAAAAGTGCTCTCATGAGTACAAAATATTCATATATTTAATATGATAAAATAAAGTTCTCCTTACCTCGAAATGAAGTTTTGAAAGTAGATTTGTGAAGGATTTTGGTGAAAGAACTAAACTTTTCCTAAGTATCACAAAAGAGAGCATTTTGAGAAGTAAGAAATAAAAGCAAACAAATATTAGAGAACTAAGCTCTAAGAACTTACTTGGAATCGATTAGTTAAACTTCTAAGCCCAGATTCGAAGGAAGATTGAAGTTTAGGGAAGGTTTTTTTTTAAGAGAAGAGAGTGAGAGATTAGAGAGAGTAGAGAGAAGGTCGAAACTTGGATTGTAATCCAAGTTTTCTATGTTGAAAATCCTTAAATACCCCTTAACTCGCAACATTCTCGTAACAACGAGTCCTTTTCTCGTTGTAGCGCCTCAGTAAGAAAAACTAGACAATATTCTCCTTTTATTGTATGTCATTCTAGCTACACCTAGAGATCCTCTCTACGAGAATGCTGTTAATCATTCTTATTCACTTCTCGCTACAGCGAGAATCTCTAGAGAGTCAGATTTTGGATGTTCTTTCTTGCAACAGTGAGATATCTTGCAGTTTATACTATTTAAACTTTCTTAATTTCAATCAACATGCACAAACAAATAACATAAAATACAACAACAATAATAATAATAATAAAATGAGAGTGTTACACTCACAATCTTAATGGTTTAAAGTGTTTGTGTGTGCATGAAAATATAGTTTGCGGTCACTTTGGCTTCTAATTTGAAGCCAATAAAATTTGGAGTTGCTTATTCTATGTTACTTGATTACTTATTTACAATATTTTAACTATATTTTACTATTTTTAAAAGACCTAATTATATTTTTGATTTCTATAAAAATAATATTATTTGAAATTAGTTCTTAAGAGTATATTTAAGAGGAGATTTTTGAATGAGAAAAGAAAGGAAAACATATTTTTTAATTTTAAATTAAAAAAATTATATATTATTTATAATGGTAAATACATTATTAATACATTAAATTTTTATTAATATATTAATTTATATCTTTTATTTTTAAAAAATATTAAATTTAAATATATTTATTTAAAATATAAATTTATGAAGGAGGGCATAACATAAATCAACTTTACTGCTACTATAATTATACATGTAATTTGGTATATAAATGTAATATTTGGTATAATTATACATCTTTTCAATTAAATGTAAGTATAGAGATAAAATAAAACAATAAATATACATATAAATTATACAAATATTTTTACATATAAAAACTAACTTATAAAAAAATTTATATTGAAAGTAAAATATAATTTAAATCAAAATATAATCAACCCTTTCTTTGAAAATGACGAAACTGTTTTTGGTTCCAAAAATGCTCCCTTTAGTGACTCAAACACGGGCACTGCGACAACAGTTTTGTCTCTCCTGGTAAACAGAACGGAGAGCGAACAAGGGCAGACTGAAATTAACATGAAACAGGACTAGGATAGGAAGGATAACAATGGCAGAGAGCAGTCCGAGGGAAATCCAAATCCGAGCCCTAACCGGTGAATCTATCACTCTCCCCATCACTGCCACCACAACCATCCAAGACCTCAAGCCTCTGCTCAACCAGTCATTCCCACCCGCCACCGTCTCCTCCAGTTTCCACCTCTTTTTCAAGGCACACACACTTTCTCTTACAAAACCTCAACAACCATTTTCATTTCTATTCTACTTTTTAGAAGCGGTGGCATTTTCCCTCCAATGCGATGAACAACGTCATACACTAACACATTGCTATTTTCAGGGTGACAAATTGAGATTGCAGACTCAGATTGGGTCTTACCCCATCCAACGTGGCGAGTTTCTTGTCCTGATTCCTTTTGCTAAGAAGGAACCGAAGAAACCGGACCCTGTTCCGGCTTCTTTAAATGCTCCTCACACTGCTTCAGCCTCTAATCTAGCGGATTCCACGTGGTCCACTATAATGGAGGATTTGTCACATTTACGTGACACCTCTGACAGTGCCGATAAAACAGAGGAAGTGTTGGAGACCCAAACCAAAGTGGATTTAGGTTCTGAGAAGCAGATAGAGCTTCCATATCATCTCATATTGAATTCGTTGGAGTGTAGTGGCGAGTGTGCTCTTGGCGAGCGTAATTGCAAGGTTTTTGTGAAGGTTTTGGAGTCTGTGAATTGTTTATCGGACCTGCCTCTTGGCCACTGCAAGTTGTTGAAACGAGCACGTGTGAAGGGTTTAGCTAGTGATGCTGTTACGTGTTTGTGTCCACCGTGGCTGAAGATAGTAGTTAAGGCATTTGCTTTTATAAACACATTTTCCGCCTTTGTTCATTTGCAGCGTAGGAAATTGACCTCGTGTCTTTTGGAAGAGGCGCTTAATCAGCTTGCAGAGTTCGGGGTTCAACTTGGGCTAAGTGACATGGAGCATCTTTCCCTTCTTTGTCCTCATGTAAGTCGATTGATTTTATTTTATCTTTCATTTGTGTGGTGATATTTTATACATGTTTCTTCATCTTATGATTCGTGCTGTGATGTATGGTACGTCTAGTTTGTACTAAAGCTGAGGTTGTGGGAATAAAGATTGTTGCTTGAAATAATTATTATTCCCTGTTCAATACCATCTTTTTGTTATACTTAGTCTGGAAAGGTGAAATGTTACCAGCCTATTGTGTTTTCCTACTAATCTGTGGATGGAATCTGTTGCAGCTGATATGTTTTGGAGATGACATAGAGAACGTGGGTTTTGGTGATGTCATTGTTGTTGTTAACCGTTCAACTAGCAACAAAGATAATATTGAAGACAATTCTAAAAGAGGTATTTTGAAGATGTGTACTGTTGTTTTGCTGCTCTGGTGTTTACTGATATTCTTTTTTTACAATCAGGATAGTTTCTTTTATTTTGCTTGATATGTCTTCTTCATGTTTAATAGGGCGCAAGTGGTTGTATGTTTCAAAGATTGTAAGTACATTGAAGAGAAGGGACAGTTCCTTCCGAAAAAATCTAGGGTGGGCTTTTGAGCAGCTGCCGGTATGTTTTTCTACCTCTAACCTGCATTAATGATCCATTTGTGAACCCATTTATCTTATCTGCGAGTCTGCATTTGGCCTGATTGTAATAAATATACATTTACACCTGACTTGTGGTTGTACAAATATTATAGGATTTTCATTGTATGTTGGACATCCATATGCGTGAACTTCAACCGATATTTCTTAACAGTGTGGAATTGTTCCAAAGTAACGCATTATGGAGGAAGTATAGTGTTAAATGAGCTAGAGTTTTTGTATTGACACCTTGAAGTAGTGTTAAATGAACAAATGTCCTCACAATTAATTTGCAATATTGAAATTTCACTCTTATAAGTTATTAGATGTTTCTCTTGTTTCTTAAAGCAAGTGTTCATAATCTTGAAATCACATGCCATTGAGAAATAAAAAATAATTTGTCCTTATTTATTCTCTCCAAAACTAAAACCACCATGAGTTTTTGTGCATTTCCTTGCTTCACAACTAACTTGTTTGTTTAGATACTTGCTTAAGAAAATATTTTCTTCTTGTGGAAAGCCTTGAACTAACCTTTTAAATCCTTGTAAGATTTTTCTTCAAAAAGAGCTTCAGAACCTACTTGTGAGACATAAGCACTTATGAGATAATTTTTTGTGCAATAATTAACTTTAAAGATAATATTCTGTTCTTAAATGTTGTTACATCCACTGCATTCTTTGTCTAGATCTTGTTTGTAATGATACTTTGTCGGAGATCCAATAGAGTCAATGGGCCCAAGTGCTAATTTGATGGAGCAACAATCGAATAGGCTAACCGTTCAGAGGGTATATGTGAGAAGGAGTAAGAAGAACAAATTGATGATGTGGCAGGGGGTGTAGTGTGTTTGGTGTGGGCCTAAGGTGGTTTTGAGTAATTTTCTGTTATATTGGGATGAAGTGAGGAGAGAGGGCATCTTGGAAAAGATTATGGAATTCGTTAGAGATAGAGAGCTATAGCTCTCTATTAGGAGTCTTGCTCTGTGGACAGGAAGATCATTCCTGTATTTTCCTTTTGATCATTCGATAATATAAATAGCATTTCTCTTTCAAATATTTTGCGGTTGTTCTTTTATCCCTAAACGAATTCGCATCAAATGGTCCGACTTGCTGGATTCCGTTAGACTGTTTTCTTTTTCTTTACGCTTGCTGCCAAAAAAACAGGGAAGCAAGAAAGCAATGGATGCAAAAGTGATGGCATTGGAAGTAGAGGTCCAAGCACTAAAGGTAAACGGTTGATACCATACATACACAAGGTGTTGTACACCATGCATTGATTATGAAGAAGCTTGAAGCTCTTACCGAGAAGCATAAGAATGCTAAGGATGACGAAAGGGAATGCAGTGGTGATGATGAAAGTGTGCATGATGATGGAAGTGCAAAAAAGAAGTAGACAACCTCCAAGAACCATTTATCAGGGAAGAGCACGTATGGGTTTGGTTTGAAGAAATTACAAGGCTTTTAATGTACCATAGTCTAAACCTTTTAGTGTCTAGCTTTTTAGCTTTTTCTTCAACCTATTTAGTTTCTTGAAAACACATGATGTTAATCCTTCTTTGGATCAATTTCTGCTACTTCAAAAGACTTACCTATCAATTGTTAATGTACAAACATTTCATAAACTAAACCTAATCAAGCACTTTTGGACTAACTTTTTTTACCCATATCCATCCATAGAATGTTAGTACCCTTGCTCATTTAACCCTATATTTGGGTGCCAATGTAGTGACTCTTGCTTATTTGACATTGTACTAGAGCCATATAATATGTTACTTTTGTATAACGACTTAGCTTTAGCACAATACTATCGTGATTAGAGTAAGAGGAGATGAAACTTGATTGGGAGCATTTTAGGGAGTGCAGTCATGTTAGATTTGGGCCACCATTAAGTAAAAATCCCTTGGGAGAATGTTTCAACCTTAAATAGAAAGGATCTTTTGAGGAGTATCAGTGCCAATTCTAGTCACTCCTAGCACTGAATTTTGATCTAAACCTTGCTAACAACAAGTGGACCTCTTTACTGTTGGATTAGTAGAAGAGATTAAAATTGACCTTGAGTTGCATCAACTAGGGAATCTTGGAATTGCCATGAATATGGCTTGGGCATTAGAACACAAACAAGGGTATCTCAAGAAACCTTAACCTCAATAACCACTAAATTTATCAATAGCGGTTCTCTTGTTGTGACTAACTAGAGTTCTAATGTGAAGGAAGGCAGTCAAACAACAAAATCAATTGGGTGTAGCAATTGAGTAGCCTCTTCTGCACCATTTTTTCAAACAATTCGACCAGGGTGAAAATGGCAAAAAGGAGGGCTAAGGAACTATGCTATAACTATGATGAATCCTATTCGGTTTGACAAAGAGGCAAAAGGTTGTTTTTGATAGAAGTTCCTGATGATGGGATTGAATTAAAGGAATGTGTGATGTGATAATTAGAAGCTTATCCACAATTTGAGCTTGAGGACAAGCTCAAAGTTGGGCAGGGTAGTGGTGTTGTGGATGCATTCGTGGTTCATCAACTACAATAGATGCAGCATAACAATAGATATAATATAATTATAATTTTATTTGTTTCCTTTATTTGTAAAATCTAAATAATTGATTTAGGATATATTTCATTTATTAGTTGAGATCATATCATTTAAGATTCTTATCATAATTTAGAATTTGTTTCCTTTTATTAGATAAAGCTGTTTAGAATTCTTATCATAATTTAGGATTGTTTCCTTTTATTAGACAAGATCATATCATTGTCATGATTTAGGATGTGTTTCCTTTTATTAACTATATCATTTAGATTTACTTTCTTTGTATTAACAATCTTTAAAAGGGACTGACAATATTCAATAAAGGACAAGCAATAATACTCAGAATTAGTTACTTCAAAAAGGCTTTGTCAAGGACAGGTCTATTTCCCTATATTTCATATTCACTGTAGATCGAAAGAAGGATTCTTCAATGCCTAGACCTGTGACTAGGTCCTGTGTGAAGATTCATAACAACAGGATCAGAAATGATTGTATATGGGGAGAGATTGAGGTAGCACCTATTGAAGAGAAGATGATACAATTTGTTAAGGTAATTTGGATATGCAAAGGTCACTACTGTTTGGCTTTTAGCCTTGTGAAAAAGTGTAGAAGGAGACAAAAAAGATCGTTGGAGGAAATTATCAAAAGTGATAAGACCTTTAAATTCACAAATTCACTTGCAAATAGTTGGCTTTGTATAATAGGGAATTAGGATTTTGTTTGGATTTTGATTCATAAATTCTAAGTTATCAGGTAAGTTAGGCATGCAGCTGTTTTTGCTGAAGCAACTGATGCAGTAAAAGCTGGTAGACAGCAGCTGAAGTGATAGAATTCGGGAACAGAAGTAGGATAGATTGCAGTGGAATGATAAAAGGAGTGGGTTTTAGTGCTTAGAAACCTTTCAAGTATGAAACTATAGTATGAATGATGACTAAAGATGATAAATGTAGGTCCCAAGAATTGTGTTGACAACCCACAAAAGCACCTAGGCTTAACAGTCCAAGTAGCTAGGGGTCCTGATTCTAGGTTTGGTATGGTTTATGTAACAGGTGTTAGTGGGGTCCGGCCCAAAGGAGGGAAGGGGTTGGTGAGAGATTTGGGGGGTGGGGGTGGGGTGTGACTAATCTATTATACATGTAGGAGCAAAGGCGGAGGAAATATTGGGGAAAGTTATGTAGGGGAGGGTGTGAAGGGTTTTGTTACTGTAGATGAGTGCCTTTGTGTGTGAAACTTAGGCTTGCAGGTGTTTCTTCTTCTTTGAAGAATCATGCATTCACTATTTTGTTAGGATCCAATTGCAAAATATGGAACTTGAGTTTCATATTAGAAATATGAGATTCTAATGTGGGGCTTAGAAGACCTTGGGTTCTCCAACTATGACGGCTAGTTTTTTGTAGTATTGTTCATAGTAGTCAATAGCGGGCATGATTGCAGAGGAGCGGAGTAGAGTGGTTCCCTGCCGCAATTATGGGGCCGTCGCATCATAGTTTAGTGTAGCGGTTGTTGAGCCACAATTCACAGCCATGAAAGGGGAAAATTGCGGCCATTGCGACCGCTATGTCAAACAAGGGAAAGTTCCCCCCCTTCCCCCCTTTCTGAAAGTTGAAATGCTTTGAGGGGCGCAATATTGAGATTTCACCCCTTTTTATATTGCAATGCTCTGTGGTTCTTTGTCTTCGCAAGTCAAGATCGAACCCTACCTCTATCTCTCATTCTCTTGCTTCATCCTCCATTCTGGTTAAGTTCTGATCGTCTTTTTCATCTCTAATAAAACCAAATTTATTTCTAACTTGAATGGAGACATTTTCCAGTGTTTTTCTTCATTTCCAGTGAAACCTGAGCTATTTTTGACAAGATGTAGATGTTTTCCAATGATATAGGGACATTTTCTGGTGACTGGTCACTATTTGATCTATTTTCCTTATCTATTTTGATTGTCTTCAGAATAGCGGTCATCCTGCTATAGTGTTTTTGGGGTCGGCTGCTCCGTGCTGCTATCTGCGATTAACTACTATGATATTGCTCTTATAAGGTTCTTATCAATTGGTATCAGAACCTTTCACCATGTCGTCGCTTAGTTGCAAATGAGCTGCACAGGTGGTGATGCTGGCACTGCAATGTTTGCTTAGGATCAGGCAAAAGGCTAGTGCACAGCTAGCCCACTTGGCTGTTTGATAACCACGTCGTATCAAACAAGCTAGATTTTCTCAAAAATTTGTGCAATACAAGAAGCAAATCTAGGTCATCTCTCAAGGACATAAAATGCATTTTATTTTTAGTTCTATCATGCAATTTCAAATTAGATTGGGGGAGGATTTGTTTTGAATTTAAACGACAAAATAACAAAAACGAAAATTAAGGATTATGAAATTCAACCAATTCAAGATCTCAATCCCTACAATGCAATTCTCGTCGTTCACACAAATATAATCCCAACGAATTTCCAATCACACTAATTCAATGCGCATCAACAACCCTAAAATCTAAATCTAGATTATGAATTCCATCAAAACAAGAACCGCAATCGCAAACCCAATGCTTTAACAAAATTTAGAACAATTGATTGATTAAATTAGGTGAATCCAATTAATTCAAATCTGAAATTAACCTATTCTTTCTATTTAGGATGCAACGAAAATTCCATATCATGAAAAACGTAATTAACCTAATTAGAAAAGAGGATGGAAAGGAGAAATTCGATAAAACCTATTTTGAAACTCGAATGCAATGTAGTTTTTGAAACCTTGAACCGGTTGATGAATTAGCCTTGCTTCATAATCATGTTGCTCGACCAATTAGAGAAGGGGATGAAGTTTTCGAAAATAAAAGAGAGGGAGACGAGAGGAATCCTTACGAAAGCTTTTATTTAAAATTCTGAAAATTAAGGCAAAAAAGAGGGAAGAAGATCCCCACGCGAAATCATAAACCCTATTTAAAGACAAAATAATTGGGCTTAATTAAGGCCCAGCTTCCTAACAAGGTTCCTAAAACCCTAATTAAGTAATGTCAACAATAAAACCAAATTCTGAAAAATTCATTGCAGGACCGCAACATTGTGACGCAGTTTTGGGCCTGAAGATGTTCGAACTGGGCTTTTCTCGCAACAGAGAAGTTGTAGATCTCTCTCTTATCTTTCCAGGGACACCAATTTTGTCCAATTCCGAGTAGTGTAGCTCCAAATATGGTCTTTTCAAGAAACTGTGTCAAAACAAGAATTTATGGCGGGAATTAAGAAAGATTTAAATTTAAATCCTAAATGACTTACCAACACAAATCTAAACTAACACATTAAAATAATATACTAAAAAGACTCAATTAAATCGAAAACATAGAGAGAAAGATGTATTAAAATATGACTATCACTGTTGAGGCTTAGGAGCAGAGTGTTAGGATCCAATTGTAAGGTATGGGACTTGAGCACCACATTGTAAGTATGAGATTCTAATGTGGCGGTTTAAAAGGCTTTAGGTTTTCCAATGACAACAGCTAACTTTTGTGATATAGTGCTCCCAAGGTTCTTATCATGCTTTTTTCCGTCACTAAAATAATAAAAGGAAGTACAGTTTATTCATTTTCTTTTGATTTACCGTGAGTGAAAGTAAGGGGGTGCATTAGATTGTTTATACTAGTTTTATAAGACTTCACTAAATCTAGCTCAATATTTCAAAGCCCAAATAATCTTAATCTAAATCTTCTTTCTAAAAGGTCACATACTAGTCATGTGACCAATGGCTTAAGCCATAGGAAAACACTTTCAAGTAAAGAAAAAAGATTAAAACAGAAAAAATAAAAACAGAACTTTTTTATGCTGCTCCTGCATGAGTACCAATGTCTCAGTAAAATTAAAGATGTTGAATAATGTGCATTCTTATTTGCAGTTTGAATTTGGAAATGAGATCACTTTGGGAATTTCCTTGGAAGAGCTGCTTAAGGCAGTCAAGGACAATGATTTTATTAGGAACGAAGACAAATCAAAAAGTGTAAAGAGAAGCAAAACTACCTCAAAACCTGAATTAAACTATATTGGGTGTCAGGTATGCATTCATCTGTTACATATTTATTTTTAACTTAGTCTTTTGTATATAATCAACATTTATCAAATGAAAGAAGATAACGGTAGAAAGCATTAGAGTAACATACAATGTCGGTTTTCATGTCTAAAAATATGTGCATGTGTGTGTGTGTGTGTAAATAACTATGAAGTCAATGCTATTGATGCAGTTTCCCCTTTCTCTTTTTCCTTCTTGATCCATGGATTTATGTTATGACAATATCCATCCAACTTCCAACCAAAATAACATAGTTGGGGTAAGGATTTCAAAATTTTAATATGTTGTATGCATATATGTTTCATATATTGCCAAAATTTCCAACTGGTATTTGGTTTCATGTTGTTTGAGGAGATGTTTGTGAGAAATAATTGCATGTTGAAATATAATATTGGGAAATCAACATATGGATTTTGGGAAAGTGAAAAACAGCCTTTTGCTTCTCTTTGTACTGCTCAACGTGCACAATACTCTCCCTCTGAAATGCATGAATTATGAAGTTGTACTATTAGGAGAGACTATGTAATGCATTGCTTTATTTCACTTGTTCTTGGCATGGCAGGAGACTAAGTCTTTACTGGCTGTAGACATGGTTGATCATCTTCAGAAAGGAATTGGATCTGAAGGACAGGTCTTTTTATTTTATTGCAATAGCTTTTTGGGGTTTCAGAAGTATAACGTTGAAATCCTCAATTACTGTGATTAGCTGGATCTGCTGACTACCATGCATTGTAAAAAATACACAGCCAATAATGTTTATAGTCAAACTTAATATTCAATTTTGGGTCATGAGTATGTACCAAGGCATGTCTTACTCTACTAGTACCAAATGCTATATTATGAAGGTTTGGTTGATACAGATTGTGCATATTGAAGACATATGTGCCAGAGAAGCCATTTTTGGTGAGATCCCAATTGAACTATCAGAGAAAATGAGATCTGCTTTGAGGAGTATTGGAGTTTCCAAATTTTACACTCACCAGGTACAAATTTAATATGAGCAAATGGTGTCTTTGTGGCTAATAGTTTCTCTCTCTGACTAAAATATTTTCTGCTTCTTGGTTTACATAGGCTGAGTCTATACAAGCCTCCCTTCATGGCAAGAATGTTGTTGTGGCTACAATGACATCTAGTGGCAAATCTCTGTGTTATAACCTGCCAGTTCTAGAGTTGTTGTTCAAGAATTCATCTTCATGTGCTCTGTACATATTTCCGACAAAGGTTTGTTGCAGTCTGTCATTTAATTTCTTAATTCTAAAACCTAAATGCCTGCAAATAATCATGGCATCTTTCTTTTTTTTTTGGTGGGGGTTGTTGTGATAAGATGGCTAAAATAATTTATACATGCAGGCATTAGCTCAAGATCAATTAAGAGCTTTGTTATTCATGACAAAAGGATGTGGTGTTGACTTCAATATTGGTATATATGATGGTGACACTCCTCATAGTGAGAGGATGTGGCTACGTGATAATTCTAGACTGGTAATCTAATAACTAATTTCTCCTTTAGACCGGAGAGATTCTATTGAAATGTGCTTCATTTTATATATTACTGCAGTTGATCACAAATCCAGATATGTTACACATAACAATCTTGCCCCACCATCAACAATTTAGTCGGATTTTATCAAACTTAAGGTATTTCTATGGACTATTTGGTCAACCATATTCATCTGGGTATTTTTATGGAATATTGCTTGATGGATTGTTATTGAGTTGAGGTTTACTCTGTCTTAACCAATTAGGTTTGTGGTTATTGATGAAACTCATACTTACAAGGGAGCATTTGGATGCCATACTGCCCTTATACTGAGGAGGCTCAAACGACTCTGTTCACATGGTATGTGGAGCTTCAGGAAACATTTCCATAAAAAGTTGTCTGTTTGAATTTTCAGTGGCAACATGAATCCATTATTTACTTCCACTTGCAGTATATGGAGCTGTTCCTTCTTTTGTTTTTTCCACTGCAACATCTGCAAATCCTCGTGAGCATTCTATGGTAAATGATTCTTGAAAGTAGTCACCATTATCATACAATTAGTATTGAATCTTTTTTATCTTGCTGTTAGTCACACATGTACCTGACTTTTTAACGCATGCATGTTTTACTTTGTCTTTTGTTTGGATTATAATATTATCTGGTAATCTATGAATTGCTATACTTCCATACTTAGATTGAACCGTTGATTGTCCTGTCTCAGGAACTTGCCAATTTACATACGCTGGAGCTGTTTCAGAATGATGGAAGTCCATCTACAAGGAAACTTTTTGTCCTTTGGAATCCTGCTCTGCGGCCAAAAGCTGTGAGTTGTAGTTATGATGTTTTCTGTAAAGTTATATAGCTCTTATATTGTTAACTAAAGGCAAATTTTATGAGCTAAATTCGGTTGCTACATGATCACAGATCTTTAAAAATGTTCAGTTTGCAAATTGTACCAATGAGTTGGCAGATGACAATGCAAATTTTGTTCGTTCAAGGTGATAATCCCGATATGCATGGAAACAGCATAAAACTTTGCAACCATTGATTTTGATATATGTAGCCTTATGTTAACTTAACCTACTGCTTTAATCAACGAGAGTGCTGTTTTAGGCTTTCAGCTTGAATAATGTGTTACTGACTGTTAGGTAACCCCCATTAGTAGTTAGCTATGATGTTAGTCAGGGACATATTAGTAGTTAGTTATAATATATTAGTTAGTTAGCCTAATTAGTTAGTAATTTGGAATGGTTGAGATTGTAGAAGAAATAAGGCATATTGCCTCTATAAATAAGATCGGGGAAGAGAGAGGTCAGCTTGTCAATTGTGAAAGAGCTAGGGCCATTGGCTTAGGAGATCCAGTCCCTCAAAGAACTGTTGAGGGTGTGTGTTTTATTCTGTAATGTTGGGAGTTTCTTCTTGTATTTCTTAATAAAGATACCAGTTTCTATCACTGGTATCAGATATCTGATTCAGAGCTGTGGGTGAGGCAACATCTCGAATCTTGCTTTCAACCCCTTAGCAGTCAATTTCAACCTGGAGTGTTTGTAAATTTTCATCCCTCAAGTGGTTGAGCTGTGTGAGATTCTTGAAGGAATAACAAGTTCTTGGACAGAAATCACCTGAAACACAGTTGGAAAAAGCAAGAAGATGGTTTGAAACGAGAAGTTGGAGAAGCAATTTGATGAGATGCAGCGGGAAACAAGGGAACAGATGAATTTGATGAGGCAATCCATCACAGTGCTAAAAAATTTGATGGAACACAATATGAAAAGTGACCCAAAGCTTGGGATAGAGCATACGCAAAGAGAAATAGAGAAGAACCCAGCAGTTGAAGTGCAAGGAACCAATAATATTGTAGAAGAGATTGCAGAGATAGGTGATGCATATTCAGTTGAGTTGATGACAAAAATGGAATTTCAGAAATGCAATCAAATTCTTGACATAAAAGACCAGACCCAGCAAAAGGTAGTGAAGAACTTTGATGTCATCGGCTTCTGCCATTTGCAATATTGCAATTCTCAATAGAACCTTGGGTTCTTAGTACACTTGCAGAGGCAATGATACTCTGTTTCAGGACTAAAGACACAAAAGAACACAAAGTATTGGAAGAGATTGGATGCAGTCACATGCTTGTTTGATCCAGGAGGAATGGAAGCTATTTTTGGAATTGTTGTCTTGCTTCAATCAATTGGAATTTATTTCAGAAGGCACTTAATCCTTTACCTTGAGGTCAAGGTGAAACTTTAGGAGGGGAAGTATTGTTAGGTTAACTGTATTAATAGTTAGTAATGATATTACATGGGGACATATTAGTAGTTAGTTATAATATATTAGTTAGTTAGCCTTAATTAGTTAGTAATATGGGATGGTTGAGATTGTAGAAGAAATAAGGCATATTGCCTCTATATAAAATAAGAGGAAGGAAGAGAGAGAGAGGTCAGTTTTGTCAATTGTGAAAGAGTGAGGGCCTTTGGCTTAGGAGGTGCAGTCCCACTGTTGTGTTCACCAGAAAAAGAGGGTAGAAAGAAACAATCTTTATGAATTCTTTATTGAATTGATGAATATTGTGTATACAATTCTGTTTCCCAGAGCAAAGCTCCTCAGAGAATTTTTTCTGCCTAATTTCAGAAACTACTTTTCAAAAAAGACCCCTCACTATTCTCCCAGCTATTATTTATAACTGGCCTTAAAACAGAAAACTAACTCCTAGCTGTTACTGTTAACTGCTAACTAACATTATTAACTGTCCTCTTTCTTTTAGAGTACACCAGCCAAGGTTTGGGCCTTGTCTAAGTTAGTATTTACAAAGATATTAGGGTTAGGACCCTGACTCCTATCATTCTCCCCTTCTAGAAGAGCAGACTTGGCCTCAAGTCTGAAGTGAGGAAATTGGCTCAGCAGCACAGCTTCATCTTCCCAAGTAGTATCCTCTGGAGGACAGTGCTTCCAGTTGATCAGCCATTGTTTGCAAGGCGTGTTGTCCTTAGTAACTTCTCTTTGGGCTAGAGCAGCTTCGGGTTCAATTGTGGCTTCAAGTTCAACTTCAAATCCTCTAGGTAGATCAGGAGAGGTAGTGTAGTTAGCAATGGCCCTTTTTAACTGAGAAATATGAAATACCGGATGCACTCTTGAAGTTTCAGGCAGCTGTAGCTTATAAGCTACCTCACCAATCTTCTGCAGAATCTGCAGAATCTTGTAGGGCCCATAGAACCTAGCAGCAAGTTTAGGATTGATCCTGCGGACCACTGTTTTCTGCCTGTGGGGACGCAGTTTTAAGAAAACAAACTCTCCAACTTCAAAAGATATAGGTCTTCTTTTCTTGTCAGCAAAACGCTTCATTTGCTGCTGAGCCTTGTGCAGGTTAAACTTCAATTGAGAAAGAGCTTCATCACGGTCTAGTAGATCACTGGCTACTGCTTGTACCTTTGTTTCTCCAGGAAGGAACCGAGCAAGTCTTGGAGGAGGCCTGACATACACAATTTCAAATGGAGTAGCAGCTGCGGCAGTGTGGAAGGATGTGTTATACCAGAATTCAGCCCAATGCACCCATAGGGACCAGTTCCTTGGCTGTTCAGAGGCAAAGCACCTTAAATATGTCTCAAGACACCTATTTAGAACCTCTGTTTGATCATCCGTTTCAGGATGATATGAAGAACTCATATTTAGCTGTCCCCTGTAATCTGAAGAGCTCTTTCCAAAAAGAGCTAATAAAGAGTGGGTCCCTGTCACTCACAATTGAAGAGGGAATGCCATGTAAACGAACTATTTCTTTAGCAAAAATCTCAGCTACTGTTCTTGCTCTATAGGGATGTTTAAGCAGTATGAAATGCCCATATTTGGACAACCTGTCTACTACTACCAAAACTGCCTCATAGCCTTTAGATTTCGGAAGCCCTGTAATGAAGTCCAATGAAATAGCATCCCATACCAAAGAAGGAATAGGTAGGGGCTGAAGTAAACCTCCTGGGTAAGTAGCTGCATACTTTTGTCTTTGGCAGATATCACAACTTCTGATAAACTCCAGGATTCTCTTTTTCATGCCCACCCAGTAAATATTTTGAGCAATCCTCCTATAAGTTTTCAGAAAACCTGAATGTCCACCCTCCGGAGAAGCATGAAATTCTTCCAAGAATTGAGGAATGTAAGAGGAAGTAGAAGGTATAACTATGCTCCCTTTATGCAGTAAGATCCCATTCTGAATAGAATAACCTGCCCTTGTTACAGAATTTTGCTGTAAATCAGTCTTCATCCTTTGAATAAAATCATCCTCCATTATCTCAGAAACCTTGCAGCCATACGGGATAAGACAAAATAGCATTTAGCTCAATATCCTCGTAGATTCGTGAAAGGGCATCTGCTGCCTTATTTTCAGTCCCCGCCTTATAAACTACTGTGAATTGGTATCCAAGTAACTTGGATAACCAATTTTGCTGAGCAGAGGTGGTAATTTTCTGATGAAGAACTTCCTTCAAACTCTTCTGATCAGAAAAAATAGTGAACTTCCTCCCAATCAAATAATGACGCCAATGCTGGATGGACAAGACCAGAGCCATCAGCTCCCTCTCATAAGCTGATTTAGACAACTGTCCTGCAGAAAGGGCCTTGCTGTAAAATGCAATAGGTTGCTGTTGTTGCATAAGAACAGCTCCTATACCACTCCTGGAGGCATCACATTCAATCTGAAATTCTTGTGAAAAATCAGGCAATCTCAACACAGGAGCAGAAGTGACTACTCTCTTCAATTTCTGAAAAGCTTGTTCAGCCCTTGGATTCCACGCAAAGGCCTCCTTCTTGGTTAACTCAGTGAGAGGTTTAGCTATTTTCCCATAATTCAAAACAAATTTTCTGTAGTACCCTGTCAGCCCAAGGAACCCTCTCACCCCCTTCACATTCTTAGGAGTTGGCCAGTTTAAAATGCTGCTTACCTCAGGGTCCATTGTCACCCCATTTTCAGTAATCACATGTCCAAGGTACTCAATCTGACTTCTACCGAAACTACATTTTTTTATATTAGCAACAAACTGATGTTCCCTAAGAACTTCCAGAACCTTAGAAAGATGCAAAACATGTGTAGACCAGTCCCTACTGTAAACTAGTATGTCATAAAAAAAACCAATACAAAGTGACGAAGGAAAGGCCTGAAAACCTGATTCATAGTAGATTGAAAGGTGGCTGGAGCATTCATTAGGCCAAAAGACATGACTAGGTACTCATAATGACCTTCATGAGTTCTAAAGGCTGTTTTACCAATGTCTTCCTCTTTAACACGTATTTGATGATACCCGGATCGTAAGTCCAGTTTAGAAAAAAACTTCATTCCATGTAACTCATCAAGCAGCTCATCCACCACTGGAATTGGGAACTTGTCTGGAACTGTGACCTTATTTAACTCCCTATAGTCCACACACATTCTCCATGAAGAATCTTTCTTCTTGACTAAAATCACTGGACTAGAATAAGGACTGGTGCTATGCCTTATTATCCCAACATTCAGCAGCTCTTTTACTTGCCTCTCTATCTCATCCTTGTGATGGTGGGGGTATCTATAAGGTCTGACACTTACTGGACCAGTACCTGGGTATAAAACAATTGAGTGCTCAATGGCCCTTTTGGGAGGTAATCCCTTCAATTCTTCAAATAAAATAGCATGCTGCTGCAGTAAACCCTGCAGCTCATCTAATTGTTGGGGTTTCAACTCATTGACATTCGCAGGGAATTCCAGAGTTCCTTTCTTCCAATTTAGACCTTCAACCTTGCAAAGTTGACCCTCTAAGAGCTCATTGAAAGTAGGGACAACATTCTTTCTTTTACCACCAATTCCCTTTAACTCTACTGGGCGACCATCCACTTGGAAAGTCATAGAGAGGTCCTTCCAATCGATTATCATTTTCCCTAGTGTCTTCAGCCAAGCAATTCCCAAGATCATCGTCCAGGCCTCCTAGATCAAGTATGTGTGCATCAATCTGAACATTGAATAGCTCCAAGATATAAATGAACTTTAGGGCAAGTTCCCAAAGTTTTAACTCTGTGACCATCTCCCAGTTTTACTCCAATACTTTCTTTGTCTCCCACCTTTAGGCCCAAAGCTTGGACCACTCTTGGAGATATAAAGTTGTGGCTGGCTCCGCTGTCAATCAACAAAATGATTGGTACTTCTCCCAATCTGCCTTCTAATTTCATTGTATTAATGTCCCCATGTGAATTCCCAATCAGCCCTAATAAATCCATTGAAGTACAATGTAGCTGTTCCTCTTCAAACCCATCAGATTCCACTTCCAATCTTACCCTTTCCCCTGACTCACTAATTCCTTCATCCTCCTCCAGAATCACCAATCTTAATTGCCTATCTTGTCGATCTGCACAAACATGAAGAGGATGGAACTTCTCTCCACACCTAAAACATAAGCCCTTATTTCTCCTTTCCTGAATCTCCCTATTAGACAGGTGTCTCACTCCCCTATCCTTGTATGTGGAATGGACAGGCCTCTGATTGACAGAGGTGGAAGAACCCACTGAAGCTACTGGTCCCCTTTTTGCGAAAGATGAAGAATTACCACTTCCAAAATTGGACTTAGACTTTGTCTCAGCCTGCGCTTGAGCATTTTCACATTGTGAATGCCCTAGATTTCCCCTGAATCCTCGAGAAAGAGCTCCATTACCCCATAATCTGCTACGCACATTTGAGCTATCCATAGACCCAACAATTTCTGCCTCCACACACCTAGCCATTCGAATAGCATCCAAATGATCCTTGGGCTGAAGTGTACGGACTCGCAACCTGATTTGCTCCTTCAGTCTTTTCATGAAAAATGCCACAAATTGATTCTCTGGCAAACGTCCCACCTGGGCAGCAAGAAATTCAAATTCTTCAATGTACTCTTCCACGACCCTTTTCTGTTTTAGGTCAGCAAGCTCTTCGAAAGGATCCTCCAAACGCCCCCCTCCAAAACGTAATTGCAGCGCATTCCTGAAAGATTTCCAGCTGGGAACAGTCTCAGAATCAAGCTAAGTTTGGAACCAGTAGATTGTTCCTCCCTCCATGCTCAATCTTGCGAGTTTAATCTTGTTGAAGTCCGATATTCCTTGAACTTCAAAATATGTTTCAGCCCTCGTGATCCATCCCCTTGGATCAGTCCCATTGAATGACGGCAGTTCCACTTTCTTTGCCATCAAACGAAACTCAGTTAACGCATCAGCGTCCGCATTATGCAATGTTTCCTGTTCTTCAGCACCTGAATTACTTTGTCCCAGATTCTGTCCCAACGAGTCATCATGTTTGGCAATGAAGTTCTAAACCAAATCTTCAAGACCTCCCAACCTCCCAGTCAGCGTTTCCATGAATACATCCAATCTTTCCTCCAAGGAATTCATTCTTTCCTCAACAGCATCACTGTGTTGACCTTCATTTGCACTACGCTTCGTCATCTTGAAATTTCTTGCTGGACCACACCTTTCTGTTTCTCCCCCAAGGATCCGGTAGGTCGGACCAATGTTGTGTTCATCAGAAAAAGAGGGTAGAAAGAAACAATCTTTATGAATTTTTTATTGAATTGATGAATATTGTGTATACAATTCTGTTTCCCAGAGCAAAGCTCCTCAGAGAATTTTCTCTGCCTAATTTTAGAAACTACTTTTCAAAAAAGACCCCTCACTATTCTCCCAGCTATTATTTATAACTGGCCTTAAAACAGAAAACTAACTCCTAGCTGTTACTGTTAACTGCTAACTGCTAACTAACATTATTAACTGTCCTCTTTCTTCTAGAGTACACCAGCCAAGGTTTGGCCTTGTCTAATTTAGTATTTACAAAGATATTAGGTTAGGACCCTGACTCCTATCACCCACAAAGAACTGTTGAGTGTGTTTTATTCTGTATCGTTGGGAGTTTCTTCTTGTATTTCTTAATAAAGATACCAGTTTCTTTCACTCACCTACTCTTGGAAAAGTTTAAGTTATTATATGCATGCCAAGAATGATTCAATACCTCCAATATTCTACCTCATACAAGAGCCCAATAAGCTTAAAGCATGGTCGGTGCATTTGACCTTGGACTATTATTTGATTTAATTATAAAGGTTAAAAGAATGAAGCACTGTGGATTTAACTTCTGATCGCTTGGTCTGAGACTCCACTACCACCGTTCAGGATCAGCTTTCCTAAAGCTGTTATGTAGAAGACTAGGAATAGTTTTATATCTAAATAGTAAAGAAACCCATGCTCTGCACCGAGGAGAGACAAGAGAGAACTGTTCAATCTCAATGTAATGAAAAAAGAAAAACAAGTAAAACTTGCTGGTGGAATTTTTTTTAATCGGAAGTCAATACCTGTCCATACCCTGAATAGGTAGTTATAGGTATTATAAAAGAATTCTTTTCTAATAATTTATGTTCATGTTAATGGACAAAGCCTCCTTGGAATTTTCAGAACAGTATATAATTTATAGTAATAAACAATGAGAGAATTTTCAGAACAGTATACAACTCATATTAACATGCTGTATCAAAATGAAGTGTTAAATACTGAAATTGTTTATGAATTGTACACATTCTATGGTTTGTATGTAGTATTCTTAAGTATCTTTAGTTTGAATGCCTTGTGTGTCCTGTTGTCATTTTTTTGCAGCTCGATTGTGGATGTTTCACGCCTTTTTGCAGAAATGGTTCAGCACGGTCTTCGCTGCATTGCATTTTGTAAATCACGGAAACTTTGTGAGCTTGTTTTATCCTATACGTATGTCAAAACAATTTCATGTACTTGTGTAGTTTAGTAGAATCAATAATGTGATAGAATAGTTTGCTTTTTTTAGATTTGATTTTTGTTATTTGATATTCATTTTGGAATTCAAGTGTATGGTTTTTTAGTTGTTAAAAGGGAAGATGCTCATGCAATTTGAATGGCTGTAAAATGTCATAGACATGATATTCTTCACGAGACAGCCCCACATCTGGAGGATTCCATATGCGCATATCGTGGTGGCTACATTGCAGAGGTCAGTTTTTCTTTTCAGGTTTTAAAAAATAGGCATTTAATGTGTGTGTGGGCACATCATCCTGTCTATAACATTGTCATGTGCAATTTCATTTTTGTGTTAATCATATACTTGAGAATGGCAATCTACTGAAGTAATCACTTGCAAAATTCTTACTTTATGCACTTCATTTTCATCTTTTGCCTTACTTATATCATTGTCAATATTCATGTTGAGAATATTTGTATTTCCATATTTACCTTCTTTCCTTTTATATAGGAATTTGATTGATTATGTAAATAATGTAATTAGGATTCTGCTGTAATTACTTAATCCCTATAATCATGGGATCTAGTTTTGTACAGATCTATATTATAAAAACCTCTGAATAACAATCAGACCACCAAGTTTTTACCCTAATTATTCTCTGTCTCAAGTTGGTATCAAAGCCTATTTAGTTTGAATGTTGGGCAGCCCACAGATGTCCAGTCTTGTTGGGTCCACCCATGCAGATGTCTAGTCCTGTAAATTTAACGCACTAGATGTCTAGTCCTAGGCATGAGGGAGGTGTATTAAGATGTCTCACATTGGTTAGAAATAGAGACAGAATACTTCTTATAAGGGCTAGGGCAATCTTCCTCTTATGAGCTAGTTTTTGAGATTGAGTTAGGCCCAAGTTTGTATCAGAGCTCATATTCTGTGGGCCTGATAAAACAAACTATAGTATCGCACAATACCGCAACCCAAGTTGTCCCGACGTCTAGCCACCATTTGGCCTGTGACTTCGGCACTAGCCCTAGAAGTCTCTGATCGGCTGTCCCACTGATCATCATCGTCTCCCGGCGTCTCATGCGTCGCCACATGCACTTACCATAAAACCAGGCCGTTGGCGCGTGAAAGCCACGTGCCACCCTGCACAACTCTATTTGTCTCGCCGTTGGTCCTGTTCACCTCGTCAGCAAACCCTCTGTCTCTTCTAGGTGTCCTTTTCCAGGTTGGTGAGCTGTGTTTAGTCTCCTTCGTCTCTCATCCAACTTAGTCATGGCTTCAGACCCAACAGAGTCAAGTCAATTGCCACCCCCTGACAACATTGGACCCTGAAATAAAAATCCTGTATCCTTTGTCTTCTTTGAAAATCCATCCATAACTTCAGAAAAAATTAATGGGAAAAATTATATGAATTGGCAAGCTGCGGTGGAAATATGGTTTTGGGGTCAAGGTCTCTAACCATTTGACTAAGACGGCAAGTGACATTAATCCCAAGGCTGATTATCAGTTAGTTTCACTTCTATGGCAGTCCATTGATCCGAAGTTGTTAGTCCACTTTCATACTTATAAGACATGTTACGATATATGGAAGAAAGCTCATAGTGTCTATTCAAATGATGTTTAGCATCTCTACGATGTTGTACATAATTTAGCTGCACTTAAAATGATAGATAACGATCTCCCATCATATTTGAATAGAGCACAGTCCACCATTGATGAAGTTAAATTGGTTTTGACAGGAGATGACCTTCAAAAAGTCTTAGACAAGATTGATAACATGTGCATGGTGTTAATCGTTGATGGCCTTCACAAAGATTTTGAATCTGTTCGGAACCAAATTTTCACAAATTCCAGTGTACCTGCAGCAGAGAATCTCATTGATCGTCTGTGGCATGTTCCCTCACCAGAAACTATGATAGGAATTTTTGCCAACAAGGTTTGGAGTCTTTTGTATTCTTCTCTAATGTGATCAGCCGTGGAGGTCAAAGTTGTGGTCAAGGTGGTGGAAGAGGAGGTCGCAGTTTTGGAAATAGTCCACAATGCTCTTATTGTAAACATATGGGCCACACTCAAGATAATTGTTATTCCTTAATTGGGTTTCTCGAGAAATCAGCCTGTGACAGATTCTCAGTCTTCCGCTGTGGAAAAGCAAATTGACCTTGGTGGAGACAACCAGAATATTTTGTTAGATATGGAGTACAAGGATTACCTCCAGTTGAAGATAGCAGCACAACAATCTTCCTCTGCCATTGCTCAATCTGGTAACACTACAATTTGCCTCTCTCATTCATTGTCTGTTGGACCTTGACCCCAAATAGCTAGTAATCCTTCTCTTTTCTCAAAACTGTCATAACCTAAAACAACACACCACATCACCCTTGCTGACGGCTCAAAAGCTAAAGCCATTGGCATTGGACAAACTACCCCTCTTCCTGATTTATCCTTGAATTCTGTTCTTGTATCTGGTTACTCCTTTAATTTAGTCTCAGTCAGTCAACTTACTCGCTCTCATAACTATTTCATAACATTTACTGCTGAATCTTTCTCTATACAGGACCGGAGTACGGGACAGACGATTGGAGTAGGATCTGAATCGTGTGGTCTTTATTATTTCCAGCCTCCTACCTCAATTGTATGCGCTGTTGCAGATTCCCCCCTTCCCTTGCATCGTCTCCTAGGTCATTCAGGTCTAAATAAATTAAAGCACATGGTTCCTCACCTCTCTTATTTACAGTCTTTGGAGTGTGTGTCATGTCAATTAGGTAAACACATTTGAGCCTCCTTTCCGAGTGCTGTCCATGGTCAAGCAAAATCTCCATTTGAACTTGTTCATTCAGATGTGTGGAGTTGGAGTCGTGTTAATTCTATCTTAGGACATAGGTACTTTGTTATTTTTATTGATGACTACTCAAGATGTACTTGAATTTTCTTAATGAAAGAGCGTTCAAAATTATTTACAATTTTTCAAAATTTTTGCAATGAAATTCAAACACAATTTGGTTGCTCTATTCAAATCTTGCGTAGTGACAATGTCAAAGAATATTTTTCTGCACCTTTTAATCATTTTATGACTTCTCATGGCATGTTGCATCAATCCACTTGTCCATACACCCCTCAACAAAATGATATTGCAGAAAGAAAACATTGTCATATTATTGAAACTGCTCGTCATCAACATAAACAAGATAAATGCAACTGCTGGAAGAAGAATGAAAGGAGAAGACAATGATCAGCCTCACACCTAGTCATGCCAAACTGTGTCAAGGTAGAATTGAAACGACCAAAGCATGCCCGAGGAGATTGCTTCAAAGCATAGAGAGACTGATGAAGCTTACAAACAAGACCAGAATCACCAAGAGCCATAAAAAAAGGGGGTTGATCCGTATAAACATCCTACAATTCACCATATAAGAAGGCATTTTTAATATCTAATTGATGAATAGGCCAATGACAAATAGCAGCCATAGCTAGAAAGAGACAAATAAAAGTTATTTTGACCACAGGGAAAAATGTGTCCCCATAATCTAGACAAAAAATCTGTATATATCCTTTGGCGACTAATTGAGCTTTTAACCGATCAACATGACCATTAGGTCCTATTTTCACTGTATAAACCCAACGACAGCCAACAGTTGTCTTGTTAGGAGGTAAAGGAACAAGTTTCCAAGTGTCACTGGAATGTAAGGCTGCCTCTCCTCTACCATTGCCTAGCGCCATCTGGGATCAGCCATGGCTTCACCTATAGTCTTAGGAATAGACACAGAATCCAAAGAAGAAACAAAAGAGAAATAGGATGGAGACAAATGATCATAATTAATGGTAAAAGCATAGAGAGTTAGGATTACGAGAGGAACGAATACCTTTTCGTATTGCAATAGGAAGTTCAGGTGCAGGAGGCATGGGTGGAGCGGCGGTTGGAGCAGGAGATGATGCTTGAGGATCAGTGGAATGAGTCACAACTGGATTTTGACACTGTTTGTGGTATTGAAGCAATGGAGGTGGAGGAGAAGCAATTACTTGAACCGGAACATGCAAAATGCACGAGACTTCTAAAGAGTTTGTTGCAAAATTGACATCCAATACAGTAGAAGTGAAGAAGGGAGTCGTCTCAAAAATGGTGACATGAGCAGAAACAATATATCGTTGAAGTTGAGGACAAAAACAACGATAGCCCTTCTGAAGGCGTGAGTAACCAAAAAAAATACACTTGAGAGATTTGATAGAAAGGTCATGGACAAAGCATGTGCAATCAAAGACACAAAGAGGGATGGAGTAAAGATCTTGTATTGGATATAAGAGAGAGTGAAGAACCTGATTATTAAGGATGGAGGAAGGCATGCGGTTGATCAAATAACATGCTGTGAGAATAGCATCTTCCCAAAAGTGAAGAGGAACATTGTGGCGAAAAAGAAGAGTACGGGTAGTCTCAACCAAGTGTCGATTCTTTCGTTCAGAAACACCATTCTGTTGTGGTGTGTAAGAGCAAGATGTTTGATGAAGAATACCTTGTGAACTCAGAAAAGATTGAAACTGGGAAGACATATATTCACAAGCATTGTCAGTGCGTAAAATTTTAATAGATATGCCAAATTGATTTTGAATTTCAGTCAAGAAACCTTGGAATATAGAAAAAATATCAGAACGATATTTCATTAAGAATAACCAAGTACATCGGAAAAAATTGTTGATGAAAGTAACGAAGTAATAAAAACTCTAAGTTGAACTGACACAACTAGAACCCCAAATATCTGAATGAACCAAGGCAAAAGGTGACAAAGCACTTTTATTAACTCAAGAACCATAGGTATGACGAGTGTGTTTTCCTAACTGACAAGACTCGCATGGAAAAGAACTGAGAGAAAAACATGGAACCATTAAAACCCATTTTGGTAATACTAGGATGACCTAAGCATTGATGCTCAAGGGCTGGAGACGCAGTGGAGAGACAAGCAACCAATTGTGAGAAATAGTATAATCCTCGAGACTCATGTCCTGCTCCAATCGTCTATTCAGTACGCTGATCTTGAACAAGAACAAAATTATTAGCAAAAAGAACACAGTAATTTTGGGTGCAAGTGAGCTTGCTTATGGAGATTAAATTAAAAGGATACTCGGGGATATAAAGCACAGAATCTAGGGTAAGATTAGAAGAGGGTCGTGTTTGACCAATGCCATGAACTTTTATTTGAGAGCTATCTGCCATGGTAACAGAGGGTAAAGAATCCAAATAAGATAAATGAGAGAAAAGAGACTTGTTACCAGACATATGATCAAAGGCATCGGAGTCAAGAATCCAAGGTTCAAGGGGTGAGGACTGAGAAACAAAAGCTACAAGATTACCAGATTGAGCAATGGCAGCGACAGGTTGTGGGTATGCTGCATGACTGCCTTATATTGAAGAAATTCATTGTAGGCATCAGCTGAAATTTAAACCTCATCAGATGCTCCTGGAGAAATGACTTGAGCAATATTAGCTATTGTGGATTGTTTTCGTGCCTTTATACGACATTTTACATCAGTATGGCTATACTATTGACAAAAATTGCAATGAGGGTGTTGACCACGATAGCCACCATGAATTCCACTTCGTCCACCCCAATAGGAAGAGTGGGAGTTAAAGACATGAATTGGTCGGAGATACAAGAGAATGTCCAAACATGTGAGGAATTGAGAGGCGAAGTAATTGTTCACTAACGGTGTCATAAGATGGAACAACAGTGCCTAATAATATTTGATTGCTGACAGAGTCAAAATCAAGATGAAGTCTAGCAAGTGCAAGAACTATAAAAAACTTTCCACATTGTTCAGCATGTTTATCTGCATCATTAGTTTAAGGCATGAGTGTACCAAAATCAGTAATTAAGCGATTGAGCTTGCCAAAATAGGTTTGTATATCATGATTTTCCAGCTTCACAAAAATAAGGTTGGAGACAACATTGTAAAGGCGATGAACATCATTGGAGTATACTTTCTTGGCTTTGTTCCAGACATCATAATAGGTAGTAAAGACTTGGTATGGAGGCTGCAATTTGACATCAATGGAGAACCAGAGAACGCCACACAAAGAGGCATCGATTTGTTTCCATCGGGCTTGATCATTGTTGGGAATATTGTTGGCCTGTTTGGTCAAGTGGTTATCACGACCTTGACCTTGAAACCACAACTGGACAGTAGCAGCCCAAGAGCTGTAGTTGTTCGTCCTGGTCAGTTTTTCACATGGAATCAGCGGAACAGTGGTAAAAGTCACTGCAAAGGCGGTATTCGAGTGTGAGCTGTTGGAAGCCATGGGAAATAAATATGAAATAGGGCTAAAAAGGGGCGCTGAGGTGTGAGGGCGCGCAGGCAAGTGGTCGTGTCGGAAAGTGGAAAAACTCACAATCTGATACAGGCTTGTGAAATGCATGCACTGCAAAGAAGCCGCACATGTGGGCGTGTGTGCCTGCAGATTGGAGTAGTGAATGGAGCTTGGTGGTCGTCGGGGGAAGGCGGTTCTGGTTGCAGTGCTCACCGGAGGAAAGGGACGCTTGGTGACTTGGGAAAAGTGCACAGTGGCCGCAGGTACTGTTCACCTGAAAAAAAAAACTGTTGTAGATCGAAAAATCTAAACTACTGATACCATATAGAAAAATATATTTGCTGAATGTGTTGTGTCTGATGCAGCCCACACATTATAAATTTATACTAATTTTTATAATTAAATACAATTAATTTCTACCTGATAATCATGAATCAATCATCCTAATTTCCTAGAATATGTAACTGTTAATTTCCTACAAATCTGTAGCACAGCTAATGACTAATTACATTCTAACAACTCCGACATGCTATTTTGATAACGTTGGTAGCACCTATGGAAGGGAAGACGACTTAAATGTCTCTAAGGTGGTCAGGTCACATTAAAAGAAAAACAAGTAAGCTCAAATGAAAAAAGTGGATAAAATGGAAGAATGTCCATTTAAAAGAATAAAAAAAAATGAATCTTTGAATGCAGTATGAGAAGCTAATGAAAATGTCCTTCCTATAAATGCTTCTACTGAAAATTTGATTTTTGATAGAGTCCAAAGACATGAGTTGATCCATGTAACTAAGCTCGTGTAGTTGGATAGGACTTTACTTTCTTGTTGACTAGGGAGTATCCGTTTACTCTGTCAGCATATTATTATAATCTTTCTTTCATGGAAGATGCCATTTATTTTAAATGTGGAATTTAGTATTGTTGATCATATTCTACATTTACCCCTAGTTTAATCATTTGTTAAATATATACTGATGAAGTTTCAACACAAAGAAATGAAACTCAATGTAAATTAGGGCCTGTTTGGGCCTTGGGGTGGTTGCAAGTTGTTAGACACTGGTAATCAGGCTAGGATAAATAAGAAAAACAATGAACCTTTTATTGATTGAACTCTAGGATTCTGATTAGAGATAACCAGAAATTAGGGAAAGAGAAACAGAATACAAAGATGGCTCTTCGAGAGGCCAATACTCTCCAACAATAGTGATCGCTTTGATGCCTCCCACTGCTCTCCCTCCCATTACTTAAAAGTGCATTAGCCAACAGATTTCCCTACTAATATTCTTGCTACTATCCTAACTTCCCTAATTAACTTCCTATTATTACGGTTCTCACTCCTCCTACCTTATCTCTAACTAACTAATAAATCTTCCTTATCATTATCCCTTGCATCTCGCCTACCTTTCCTCTTATACACCCTGAATATAGGTGGTCTCCTATCACAAGTTTTCAGATTTTAGTTTTAAAACAAAAAATTCATTTGGCTAAAGTGGAGTTAAATTGGATTTTAATTCAATTTCAAAATCATTTCTCATTTTAATCCATTGGTAGCGCTCATTCTTTTGTTCTGTTTAATGGTTGATCATTTTTGGTTGAAATATGGTTCACATTAATGCTCATTTAAATCCATTGAGACTTAATACTGGCTACTTCACATTAACAGGAAAGAAGAAAAATAGAGCGTGCAATTTTTGGTGGTAAAATTTGTGGTGTTGCTGCAACTAATGCTCTGGAGTTGGGCATAGATATTGGAGAAATTGATGTCACTCTGCACCTAGGATTTCCTGGCAGTATTGCAAGGTATCTGCCCAGATGCTTTGATATCCATTTTAAGACTTTTTAATAGCTTTGTATGTGTGGAATAACCTAATTGCCTTTCCAATTTCCTTTAAATCATTTATACTTTAAGCTTGTGGCAACAAGCCGGTAGGGGTGGGAGGAGAGATAGACCATCTCTTGCTGTCTATGTTGCATTTGGCGGGCCTCTTGATCAATACTTCATGAAACATCCGAACAAACTTTTTGAAAGACCAATTGAATGCTGTCATGTTGATTCCCAAAACAAGCAGGTTCTTAACTTATAAACCTATTCTTTTATAGATTATCTATTTTAGTTTGAGCAAATACAAGAGTTTATGCTAATTATGACATACTTTGTTCAGGTTCTTGAACAACATTTGGTTTGTGCAGCTCATGAACACCCTCTGAGTGTGAAATATGATGAGCAGTATTTTGGTCCTTGCATAGAGAGTGTTTTAATTTCTCTAAAAGCTAGAGGATACTTGAGTTCTGTATCATCTGATTTGTCTTCTAGAATATGGAATTACATTGGTCCTGAGGTATATGTGATTTTTGAACAAATTAGGTTTCATGTCTGCGTGTCTGTTCTAGTTGACTTCTTTATTATTGAGCTCTATATTAAAATAGTGGGACAGTAAGAGTAGTATTTTTCCTTGTTTTCTCATGTTGCATTCTCTTACACAGAAATTACCCTCACATGCTGTCAATCTCCGCGCAATAGAAACTGTAAGATACAGTGTCATTGATGAAAAAAAAAATGAAGTCCTTGAAGAGATAGAGGAAAGCAAGGCTTTCTTTCAGGTAGTGACTTCTGCTTACTGATATATGTGTAAAAAAGAACTTTGTTACCTTGCTAGAGGAAAAGGGTAATTTGTCCTCTGTTTCTTATTATTACCTCAAGAGTGTATTCATGTTTAACTTGATTCAGGTATATGAAGGTGCTGTGTATATGTGCCAGGGGAAAACCTATTTGATTGAAAAATTAGATTTATCTAACAAGACTGCTTTCTGCATAGAGGCTGATCTAAAGTATTATACAAAGACTCGAGATTACACTGATATTCATGTCATTGGGGGTAATATTGTATGTCATCTCCTGCTTGATAGAGATCTTTTCGTTTCTCTTTATATGTTACATAACATATAACTGTTGTTAAAATGTGGACATAACTGCATCTTGTTCTTTAGACTTGGGCAGGCACATGTACAGTCAGATCCTTTGGAAAACTGTGATTTATCGTTAATATCTGGCCCATGCCTGAGTGCCAGTATTGTAAAATTCTACAAGCTTAGTGTGCTGCATAAATCAAGAAATTTTTTTGTTTACATAATTCCATAAACGGTGATATTAAGGTCTTTTAATGCTCATGTCCCTCCTACTGCCAGGCCTATCCAGTAAAGTTAGAAACCAACATGTTTCCAAAATCAAATGCCCGAGCTGATGTATGCAAAGTGACAACTACTTGGTTTGGATTTTATCGCATTTGGAGGGGAAGCAATCGAATTTTTGATACTGTTGATCTAAACCTTCCTCAATATTCATTCGAGTCACAGGTGAATTTGAGCACTGTTAGGTGTTTCTTTATAATGACTTTCTATTAGTTATTTCTCTGTGGAATCTATGTTTGTTTTGACATCAATATGTTCTTTCCTTCTAAATAGGCAGTCTGGGTTCCAGTGCCACAGTCCATAAAAGAAGCAGTCATCAAGAAAAATTATGATTTCCGTGGAGGTTTGCATGCTGCTTCACATGCCCTTTTACATGTAGTGCCTTTGTAAGTTTCTTATAAATGATAATTTTAAATTTTAGGCATCAGTATGATATTAAAAAGTCTTATGTCTTCCATCCAAATTCTGTATATTGTTGCTCGGAAGTATTAAACTTTGCATTTGGTATAGACGCATATGCTGACCGCTTTTGTAATTATTTATTTTAAATATATTTACTTGCTCTTGGCATTTCATTTTTGTTCTCACTCCTTCACACTAATTATTAACAATATTATCACTGTTAGAGTCAATTACACTTAACTCTCCTGGGTTTATTGTCCTATATTACACCCAGATCACCTTTTCATAAATTACAATGATCTCCCTTGTCTATGTTTTTCCTGTACTTAAGGAGTGAGGATTTACAAATTGACAATTTTAAAGTGTCTGACAAACGGAGGAGGTTAGTGTAATTTTTGAAAGAAAGGAATGTTGTAATTTAAGCAAACCTCAAAACAATATTATTAATTCTAGTTTTCCAGCAGATGTGTAAGTTTTGGTAAAAACTTTCCACAAAAGCTTTTAATTTTTTGAGATCTGCATGTAAATAATATACAACTGTTGGAAGTTTTTATGATTTGAATGTTATTCTCATCCTGGCAAGATGTTGCTTACTCATTAATTGTCTGTTGGTACCCTAGACGTGAACTATTTTATAGCATTTTTGTTTGACTATGACTATAAAAGATAATTGTATAATTGATTGTCACTATGTATTCAGATGCTTCCTTTTCTATAATTTTATTTATTTTGCTTATGCATGTGTTTAAAGGCATGTGGCTGTGAATTTCTCCTCGTGGAGTGTTTGGAGAAGTTTATGAATTGAACTTTTTGTGCACTTTGGACCTTTTATTGGTGAAAGTTAACTTGGAAAGTGAAAATTTGACAGTCTCGCAGTTCTTATGACATACTATCTTGACAGTCTCGCATTTCTTGTGACATATACTATCTTGCTAAATGATTGAGCCTTTAGACTGAGACATTAAAACCTTTTCCCCTTTTTACTACATGAATCTGTTCTTGTTTAACATGTGTAATTCCTTTGTCTAATTATGACGCTTTTGCTTTCACAGACATATCACATGCAACTTGTCTGACTTGGCTCCTGAGTGTCCAAATCCTCACGATAGTCGATATTACCCTGAAAGAATTCTAATATATGATCAGCATCCTGGAGGGTGTGGAATTTCAGTACAGGTTATCAGTCTAGCAATTTAGATGATATTTTGTATCTTTCTTTTATTTTTATTTTCGTTGATACTTATCTGAGTCTTTGTGGTTATGGATGTTATTTAACCTGTTATACTAGATTGAGAGTTTTTGTTTTAACAATCTTCTTAAGTACCAAGCAATGGCAAGATTTTCACTTCATAATATTTTTGGAATGTTTGACAGGTTCAACCCTATTTCACCAAGTTCCTGGCAGCTGCACTAGAGGTTCTCACGTGTTGCAGTTGCTCAGTAGAAGTAGGTTGCCCTAATTGTGTTCAGGTCTGAATTTCTTTTCATTTAAGTATTAATTCTATATATATATATATTTTAATTTGAACTAGCAGGCTAATTCTGCTTAAGAAAATTAATTGACTGTTGAGTGATAGTTTTATTTTTCTTGTTTTCATAAAGTTTATGTATGTTGTAGAGCTTTGCTTGCCATGAATATAACGAGGTCTTACACAAGGATGCGGCCATTATGCTGATGAAGGTGATGACTTAAATCACCTTAAACTTGATGATTTACAGTGTATAATTGCATGTTAAATTCCTTTTTGATGACCAGAAAAGTTATCCTTGCAGGGTATTCTGGATGCAGAGAACTAGTACTTCAAAGAATGTGGTTGGCTATTCTGAAGGCAAGTTATGGAAAATGCTCCAATAAAGTTTTTCTCTAATAAGTGAACAAGGGATTACTGTTAAGATTACGATGCACTTTAAAATAAATTAAGGTTGGATATGACTTTATTTTCTTTAAGATAATCCCAAGTTAGAACAACTTGTTCTAATTTAAGAGTCTCTTTTTAGGTGTCCTGTTAGGAGGGAAAACAGTGAAGGAGCCGTTTGGTGGCATAAGGGTGAATAAGATATGATAGTTATTATATCTGTTCTTAATCAAATGTTTCTTAAGCCGCAAGGAAAAGATTAATTTATCTTATTACCTATCCTCTTTATTAGACTAGTGTCTTGTTATCTTGAGAATATAGCAGGGTTAGATGAAGAAAGAAATGATAATAATTGTCTTTTTAAAATATTCTTAATTTATTCTATTACTTTTCTCTTCCTTCTTTCATTTCTTTCTTCTATCTATTTTTATATATTTTTAAATTAAAAATATTTTAAATTATTTATATATTTTTTATAAATTAAAAATAAATAACTTATAACAAGTAAAAAAATTAAAATTTAATATAATGAATATAGACAAAAGGGTAATTTTATTATTTTTTACATATTTATATAATTTTTTTTTCAAGTCTACATTTAAATATGATTAAAGCTTATTATGCTCTTATCATATTATATTCTTATTCAACCCTTTTATCATATCTATCTTGATCTTACTTTCCCAATTTCTGTGTAACATTGAGCTTGAAAATGAAAATGTAGAAATTGATTGATATCTTAAATTTGTAAGTGTCTTTGCTCAAATTATGAGAAATTGTATTTAAATAAAGATAAATCCTTTATAAAGCAATGTTGATGTACTGCCATCATGATTTTTAATGCACTATAATATAATTTAGGGTATAGATCTTATTTGAATGCTTAAAAATAGAATAAAAATTGACAAACTTTAGTAACAATTTTAAAATGAGAATTGTATGTACTAAATACAATCTGAAGGGAATTACGAGCACAACATTTGATCATTATGACAAATAAGAAAATACACATTGATCATTAGATCTCATTTGAATAGTCAAAATTAGAAAAATTATACAAAGTTTTTTTAGTGATTATGAGATAATCTATGTATAATTATAGACTTTATTATGTTTTTAGTACCTATAAATATAGGTTATTTTATGATTAGTTCCTATAAATATTTTTGTTAGGAAGTGGTTCTTCTAAAGTTAATAATTTAAAAATTGGTCTCGGCCGTTAGTCAGCTCAGCACTGTCACCTGATAACAAGTAACTTGTCACATTATTTAAATTTTTTATTTTTTATTAATTTAAAATAAATATTTGTAAAAAAGTCCATAAACATGTTTCATATATTTGCGAAAAAAGTTTCTTCTTTCTCTGAACTTCTCTCCATTTGCAACCTTCCCCCACCCCATTCCCCCCTCTCCTACCCCTTTCTGGCACCCCTTCTTCTTCCCATACTCCTATCCCTTCCGGCATTAATTTCTTATTCTCACCCTTCTCTTACCTCCACCTAACACTCTTATTATCTCCCTCTCCACTATTTATTCTAACTCCAATCTCCACACCCCTCTTATTATCCAACCCTTGCTATGGGACATATATCATCGTTTCTCCACTTAGCCAACAAATTAGCAAGAAAAATGCTGAGCTGGCTAAGTATTTCAAGCAAGTTAATTTGCTTTGTTGTTGATATATTTGCCTATAAGTAGGTTTTTAGGAAGAAGGAATAACGTGTCAACTGAAAAGAATTGCAAAGGATAAAGAAACTCTTCCTCTGCTCTCTATTGCTTCAGTGCGGGTAAAAGAAACACACATTTGTATCCCCTGTTTCTTTTGTGGTATACGAGAATGCAAACCTCACAATTGAAAAAGATGTTAAATTCATCAAACCTTCAAAACTCACTCCTACCACCATTCTTTCATTCTTTAGCATCGACAATTTTCTCTCCCCCAATTTCCTCACACAAAGCTTCCATCTATACCGACCCATAAATCACAGTTCTAAACTTGAACTTGCACTTGTGATCAAAGAGGCCCTTTCAAAGGCTCTATTTTACTATTACCCTTTTGCAAGAAAGCTAATAAGACACGCTGATGGAAGGAGAAGGTTGATTTTGGGTGGAAGGAGAAGCCAATGAATAGCATATAACATGTATGGAGCTTTGGGTTTGTGTTCCATCTTGTCTCCAACTAATTTGGATCCTTCAATGAATGAATGGAGGAGCGAGGGGTTACATATCCTTGCCTCGTCTTGCCATGCCCAAGTCCCTGCGAGTCTAACAAAATTATATGCTACCACTTTGATTATTCCATTTTAATTATGTTTGAAATAGTGGCTGCCGTGTGGGGAAGGGAGAGGAAGAATGGGTTATGGGGATGGGGAAAGGAGTGGGGGAGGGTACTGGATTCGGATTGTGGGAGAGGGGAAGAGAAGGACTAAGGAGAAGAAAGAAACAAAATTAAAAGACTTTTATGCAATTATGAAAAATTGTGTTTAGGGACTTATTTGTAATTATATAAAATAAATGATGTGACATGTCATGTAGGTAACTAATTAGGACTCGAATAAGCCATATGGAGTGTTAAGCAGGCTGTCCATTAGTCAGCTCAGCACTTAATAGAAGGGGAGTAAAGTCAGACTAACAAGTGGAGGAGGGAGTTCCAAAGTAACTGTGACTCATGCAGTAGAGAAAGTAATTTTGACTCAAAGATAAAGGAACTCCCATTGAGTAGTTCCCGATTTTTGATATGAAAAATATGAAAGAAAAAAGGCTTCTTTTGTCAGTTAGGTTAGGTGCGGAAGCCCAGTATGGGGGTTGTGTACAGTGGATGTTGTGGGTAGGGGCTACCATCTTGGTTTAAGTGAATGCATCTGAGTTAGCAGATTGATTCCTAAATTATCAACTTTAGAAGGACCATTTCCTAACAAAAATATTTGTAGGAACTAATTACAAAATAACCTATATTTATAGGGATTAAAAACATAATTAAGTCATAATTATATAATCCAAATTTATAATTTTTATATTTTTAAAATAATATTTGTTTTAATATATTTTTATATAGGAAATTATTTAAGTGAGAATACATTATTATCATAAAAAAAAAGAATGATACATTTGACTATTAGATTTTATTTGAATGGCAAAAATTAAAGAAAAAATATCAAACTTTTTTACTTCAAATAATAATGGTCGGCTAATTTAACTGAATTTAAAATTTGTGATATTTTCATTTTCATCATTCTAAGAGAAAAAAGTATAATGAGAACTTTTTAATTCAAATTAATGTTTTACTTTGATAATTTTATTTTTTACTTTTAAAGTTAACTTATATTGTGAGTTATTATGATAACTTTTTAATCGAAGAGGATAAAAAGTACTTAGATCCTTTTAGTGGACATGATATGATGATATGATAACAAATGATGAGATATAATTCATAAGAGTATAACTTTATATTTTCTTTTACATTTGATGCATATATAAAAATGACAAATTAAATGTATTATGTTGTTATATCTTATTTATTTTTAACTCAATCTCTACCAATATAAAAATTAAATTAAAGAGAAGGATATGATATGCTTGTAGGATAGATTTATTATATTTTATCAATTAAATAAACACAAAAAATAGGAAAAACTATCTTATTTTATTTTTTATCCCGTACATTAAATTGATACTCTACTCAAGTTTTAGTTTTGTCTTATAAAGAAATGTTGAGAAGTGCTAGTGTCATTTTTTTATTCATGAATAAATTTTAGCTAATTCTAGAGGTAATTTAGTTATTTTAGCCAATTTTGTAACTTGTATTTAAGAGCATGTTTGATTTTTCTTCTAAAAACAATTTTTTATTTTTAAAAATAAAATATAGTACCAATTTATATTATAATTTATTTTTAAAATAGAAAACTATTTTTAGAAGGGAAATCAAACATATCCTAAGTTTCGTTTTTTTTTTCTTGACTAATTTTAATTCTTTTAAACCTTAATTTACATAGTTTAGAATCACTTCAAGCAATGTGCATAATTAATCTCTACTACAATTTGGGTCATAACCTATTTGCATTACTCAATTCTTCCTTAAATTGTCCTATATGTTTAGGTCAATTTTATTAAGTGTGTTTATCTCTTTAATTTCTAATATAATGTCTAATTTTAATTTAATTTGACTAATATGAATTATATCTAATTAAAATAATAAAATTTTGGATGTTGCATTGGTCACTTTTATTTTTAACTTTTCTTTTTCTTTAGTAGCTTTCTTTTTTGCTATTTTTTATTTTGTAGGTTTGTTCTGTTAGGGATAGTAAGAATAAAAGCTACTCTTTTATTTTGAATAAGCTTAGTATACACGCTTTGTATCTTGTAACACCCCAATTTTCATAAATTAGCTACTGACTCTTAAATCGTAATTACTTGCTAATTCTGGCCTGCTAGTATCGGAATAATTAGATAGATGCTGATTTTTATTCTTAATAGAATATTGATTGATCTTTGAGTTCAGCATTTTAGGGTAGCTGCATGCAATATATTTGGTTTCAATATCGTCCAAGAATTTCTTTGATTATGTTCAGCTGTACTGTCTAAAATACCCTTGAGAGTCTTATCTAAAAAGTTAATTTTTGTCTTATTTAAATTATTGAGAAATCATAATTATTTGTCTTGAAAAATGTGAGATTTTGTAATTATTGCAAAGATTTAGTAATCACTGCATTATATTTTTAATCATTTCCTAGCCGTGAAAATTATTGCATGAAATCTGACGAAATCTAGTAATCATTGCTTTGAAGATTTTCAAATATAGTATCGGCCACTAGATTTTCATGCAACGAGACCTTGTCCTCCAATTTACAAACATCGTGATTACCCGAATCTTCCAAAATCTAGTATCGGCCACTAAAATTTCATGCAAGAAGATTTTGTCTCCCGATTTGCAAACATAATCATTTTGGAACATTCTTTTCTTGTCTTCCAAAATGCCGACACCATGATTGCTTTAATCAATTAATTTTCTTGAATTTAGCACCACATCAAATATATCGTCCACATGTCAACCTAGTCATGTCACATTCTTTTCCGGCCAATCAAATTACATACAAATGCTGCCCAAAATCTTTTCTTTGGAATTTTGTGCCGATTTTTGGGAATTGCTCCACC